AAAAAAAAAAAAAGAGAAACGTTAATTATTGTTACCAAAGTATTCACATAATCTTCAATTATATGAATCTTTGATGACATGTATAGTTTAGTAACAATAATTAATATTTGTTTAGACTGGAATTAAAATTATAAACTGAAATGATTTTAACTGATCATTGTTTTAGATCAGTAGTCCCCAACCTTTTTAGCACTAGGGACTAGTTTAATGGAAGACAATTTTTCCAAGGATGGGCAGAATGGTTTTGGGATGAAACTCTTCCACCTCAGATCATCAGGCGTTAGATTCTCATAAGGCGCACGCAACCTAAATCCCTCACATGTACAGCTCACAACAGGATTCGCGCTCCAGTGACAATCTAATGCCACTGCTGGTCTTACAGGAACCCAAGCTCTGGTGGCAATGCTGGCTCAACTACCACCACCTCGTGCTGTGCGATCCAGTTCTTGACAGGACACAAACGGGCATTGGTCTGTGCCTCAGGCATTGGGAACCCTGTTTTAAATTACTAGTATCATTGTTTCTTTTTAGGAGAAAAAGTTAAAATTTTACCCCATATCTTAGTGTCTCAGAAATAGTCAATTTTATATTCATGTCAGGTAAATGGAGGAAAATTTGAATTCTATTTGTTTCCCCATTTTCCCAACTTTTGGGGCAAGGAAAATCAAACAGTGTGTTGGTCTTATGTCATATTTTTCCCTATTTACTAGAATGAAAATTGGTTCCCAATTAAAGAACAGAAAGATACCAAACATTCTTAGGAACATTGTTTCCCATTTTTTGAGGGAGTGTCGGGGAAGGCATCAATTAAAGTTGTCTCCCTGACATTACCACAGCATTGGAGGATTTCTACTCAGCACAGAATTGAAGAATTCAATCACTATATCCTGCAGAGTTTAGATGACTAAAATAATGAGTAAAATTGCACATTTGGGGAGTTATCATGTGAAAAAATCATTCTGAAAAACAGCATTGTGATTTGCCTTATATAAGAAAATGGTTTTCTCATGAAAACCATCAAGATGTCAGTTTTCTGGATGTGAAAGCTTTTTTCTGGATATGGAGCACTTGAGTTAATAATAAATTCCCGAGCCTGAACAAAAGAAAGGATAATCTTTTAGGCCCTAAATACTATAGAAACACATTAAAGTCAGTAGAGGATTTTCTCAGAAGTAAAATGGTTCCAGGCCTGGATGAAGAAGAGGAGAATTGGGTCTCAGCACACCGTGCATCAGTCCTGCCAGCGCCACAGGCTTCCTATGTCCTATAGGCAATTCACTCAACCTGTCTGGGCCGAAGATTTTTTTAGTGCTTTAATCTGCAAAATGATGTTGAAATAAACGATTTCTGCAGGTCCTTTAACACTTATTTTTACCTACTAAGTCAGAAGAATTTTTCAAAAGCAGTATTTATTACTTTTAGTTTTTTCATTCATTACTGTAGTATTTGTCAATTTCTCAACAATCTTACGTCTATTCTAAATACTCTGTATGTGCTATTGCTGTCCTCAGTATCCTAGATTCTGTGTAGTTTGCATATTTTTATATTCAAATATTGTTTCACATCTTTGCCTAACTGAATGAGTCATTTTCCAAGAACTCTCACACCCTCACAGATGGTAGAGCTGCCAGGTTTTGCTTTATTTACATATGAAAAGGTTTTATGTATTTCAGAGCTAGCTCACTTATCTATGAGAGCTTTCTCAGTCACATAAAAAAGTTGACTTTTTTTGTACATGTACTTATGCTAAAAGGCTTTTTCTGCTCCTATAGATCTCCAAACAGAAATGTAATAACCTTAGCATGTTTTTAATTGTCCTTTACTCTTGTTTTGATCCTTTGCACAATCAGAAACTACAATATGAAAAATTATTCCATTGAATTCTTACTCATTTCCATTGCACCTAAAAACAAAACCATGCAATTTACAGACTTGCAAAGGAATACAAGGATTTCGGTTTTTATTCCCTGTATTAGCACACAAATACACACAAGGTCAAAAATTGTCATCAGTGCCTCACAGCCATTACTTTGTAGATGGATAGAGCTAGTAGAAGAGAGTTGGCCAGATTGTGTGGAAAGCAGCCATCTTTGAAATATCCCAGCTGAGGCCATTCTAGATCTGGCCAACCCCCAACATGTCAGAGCCCAGCCTAAATCAGCACAGCCACGTTACCTGCCGACGACCATGAACACAGGCATGAGCAAAGAAGACATCTTATGAGCCACCCGGAATACTCACAGACTCATGAGCACACGTAAACATTTCAAGCCACTGAGTTTTAGGGTGATGCATTATGAAGCACTAGCTAACTCCTGTACAGATTGAGTATTGCCTTGAAAAGGAGAGGGTGACCACCTGTCTTGAATGCTGCCAAGAGTTCAAGTAAAATAAGACAGAGAGGTGACTGTTAGATTTACCTATGTGGAGGAGGAGTTTGAGGAGAGAAAGTGTGGTGAAAAAGCAAGAGATAGCAATTATAAATAACTATACAACTCTAAAAATGATGAGAGAAATGGGCTGCAGCTTGAGAGAGATGTGTGTCAAGCATGTGTTTCTTGACTGGACTAGAAATGTTACAGCATAATCATACGCTGATTGAAATTCTTCTAGAGGATAAATAATTTCTATGAAGAAGAGAGAGGGGAACTGTTGCAGAAGCAAAGTCCTTGAGAAGGCAGGAAGCATAGAATTCAGATCCCAAGTAGAAGAATTAGCCTTCAACACAAACAGAGACACATTCACAGGGAGATGACCACGCGCATGGACTGATACAAGCAGGTACATAGATCTTGTGGTAGAAAGATGAGAAAGTCCTGTCTTATTACCGCTATTTTCAAACTCAATTCAAGGATAACGATCAACTGAGAATGAGGAGTAATTTAAGGGGAGAAGGGAAAGGGTAAAATGGTCATTTTAGAAGGTAAGATTACGATGCTAGGGAAGTGTAATAGGATTATCAAGCAGCATTGAATGTCTAAATGAGATTTATTATCATACTTTTAAAATGAGATTAAGTCAGTTGTGTGCTTGTCTCTGGTCATAGTGAGTTGCTTTGTTGCAGGTAGTCTGACTTCACCTTTAAACTCATCATCAAAGCCCTGAGATCAGCTCCCTTGTCCTAAGTCTTTTAACTCTAAAGTTGAACTGAAATAATTCTTCTTGAAAGACTACTATGTACCTAAACTTAAAGAAAAAGAAGCTATTGGAAATAAAGCTCTTAAAAGAAAGATAGCAATCTAAGCATAGAGTTCATTACAAAATTAATTATTCTACTTTTTCAACTTGAAGAAATATAACTGCTGATAACTGTATGCGTCTATTTTCTGTTCTTCCATCTCAGCTCTCTTGGGACTGCCTAATATTGGCAATGCAAGGAGTTACTAGCGTAGTGAGTTTGCTTACTTTCAAGAGTCACCTGAAAAAGCTACTTATCAAAGACATAACTGACTGGAGGACCTTATGTCCCATGCAATATTAATTATTCATTTACTCACGTATTCAGCCATAATTGTTGAATTCCGTGATCTCAGGCATTTGAGATTGGGAGTAGAAATACAGGCATGGCTATTACTGAAAGTGACAAGTCCTGTATTTTTACTCCAACCACTCCCAGTAACCCAGCTCCTCAATTCCAGTTTAAGATAAGGTATATTTTTAGTGCATTGGGGTTCTCTGTGTCATCAAATAAACTAAACTCCTGTAATAGGTAATGTAAACATAAAGAATATTTAATACTGTGATTAAACACATAGCTGAACACAGTAATTAAGATCACCATCCCTGGGT